TTAATATTATTATTATTATTATTATTATTATTATTATTATTATTATTATTATTATTATTATTATTATGTGTTGTTGTTGTTGTTGTTGTTGTGTTGTTGTTGTTGTTGTTGTTGTTGTTGTTGTTGTTGTTGTTGTTGTTGTTGTTGTTGTTGTTGTTGTTGTTGTTGTTGTTGTTGTGTTGTTGTTGTTGTTGTTGTTGTTGTTGTTGTTCTGAAGCAGGTCATCGTGTTCAACCTCGCGTTAAGATTACTATATAACCTCCCTGAACGTAGCACATGAACCTTTAACCAATGTGTGTCATCCAGTAAGTTACCTAAAGACTGGAAGATTGATTAAAGAACACCAGGTGGTCGAAATTTCCGGAGCCCTCCACTACGGCGTCTCTCATAATCATATGGTGGTTTGAGGACGTTAAACCCCCCCTATCATCACTGGAAGATTGGCAAGGTAGTATCTGTATTCAAGGGCGGACGGGCATTCACCCCGCAATTATCAACCCATTTCATTAACATGCATATCGTGCGAACTTCTTGAACATATTATAGCTTCTCATATTTATTATCATCTTGAATCAAATAACTTTTTCCGCCTAATCAGCCTGGCTTCAAGAAAGTGGCTACTCATCCGACACTCAGTTATTCGAATTCACCACTGACCTTTACTTTAATATGAACCGTAACGATCGAACCAGTTGCTTTTTTTTTCGGCTTCGCCAAAGCTCTCGATACTGTCCCTAATTGTCGTTTTATCTCCAAATTGTATTCCCTCTGTATAAATTCACTAACACTCTCTTGGATACGCAACTTATTCTCTTCCCGTCAGAAATTCATGGTGGTTAACGACACTTCACCTATAATCCGGTGTTCCCCAAGGCAGTGTACTGGGTCTATTACTGGTTTTAATTTATCCACGCGTGTTTCTTATTTCCACTTTTGTTTCTTTCGGTTGTCGCCCACAAGGCCTGTCAGGAATGTTCAGCGCAAACTGTGCCTGATTGTTCGAGAAGGTTCGCGATCATTGTAGATTGTTCTGTTAAGGCCGCACGCAAGAAGCGAACACTCGAGATCATTACAGAGCTTGCGCGACGACCAGTGATAGCGGTAGAGTATTCGACGGCACATGTATAAATGCCGACGCGCGTCATCATTTGTAGTTGATCGACGACCGATGCTTTGTTCGCCGTTATCAGTGCCAGTGTCTTGCTGTAATCTGACATTTCTTTTACGTAGCCACAAGTTTAGCCCAATAAACAGTTTATTTTGACCACTCTGTCTGCTTCCTTCGTCCACATCACGACCCCGTGACAATATACATTAAATACTTGCCCGCTAACCCTTAAACTTCAGTTAGGTTGTGCATGGATGATTGCGCCATCCACCTCAATATTCAATCTGTTGACTATCATTTTGCTCTTTAAAATGACCTTAATCTAACCTTCAGCTGGTGTGAAGATTGGCAAATGTCCCTTACACCTCTAAATGTAAGTTCATCTCGTTCACTAGAAAGCGTACTAACTCACCCTTTCTCTATACTATTATTAAAAGTATACTGTTGTTTCAGTCACACCATCGTACAAATAACTCGGCGTTCACCTTTCATGAGATTTATCTTGGACTACGCACATAGAGCAGCTGTCCCTTCAATAACCACCCAGTCTCTTGGCTATCTTCGTATAAACTTGCGCAACGCTCATTCTAACGCACGTGCATTATCATATCTAACTTATGTTCACCACAAAATTGCAGTATGCATCATCGACATGTCACTATAACAAGATTACCTTGTGCGTATGTTGGAAGCCGTCCGGAATAGGACAGCGAGATTCATTGCTGGTAACTACGACCATCGTTCAAACATCACCCTAATGAAACAAGACTTTGCAGTTATGTCACTGGATCAACGCCACGTCAATTCCATTTATGTTTATTTCATAGGTGCATAACAAGTAATAAATCCCGATGTTCGCTCCTTCACCTTCCTCTGCGCACATTTCGACGCATTCACAACGCTCGTTGTTTTATGCGCGTTCATTGTCAAACACAGGGATTTACCTCATCACCATTACCTCGAGCCATATATGGCACATTGGAAGGGGCTCCAAGATTCCATAGTTTCCATCTCTAATCGTGAAACTTTTTGTGATAACCTGACTTCGTTGCATTTTACTATTATATAACTTTGTTGCACCTTGCTGTTTATTTATTTGTTTCCTTTGTCTGTTTTTACTTTTTATCTGTATTTTTTGCAGTGCATTTACTGATGCTCCCCTTACTCAATGCCTTTTAATGGGCATGTAAGGCACTTTGAATTAAAAATTGAACACTACTGGCGTTGAGTATACGCGAACATAAACTCGTCTTGTCTGACCCCGTTTCGGCCTCCATTTTTGCATTCAGGTCATTGAAAGCGCCGTATTCGAGCACCAGCACCTGTGGCTGCAACGTTCGCGTTCACAAATGCTGTGGTCACTCATACTCGGCTGCGTTCCTTGCTAGTCGCGTAGGCAATGTTTCACGCGAATCTTACTTTTGCGAGAGCGACATGTATTGGCACGTGTTGTGGACTACAATAGAGGTGCCACGTGTTGTGGACTACAATACAATGACAGCCCGGCCCCCAAAGTGATTCACAACTTAAAGAAATACAAATGACATTTTCGTTCCTGATTCTGGGGAGTCGTGTTTTCCGAACGAGACAGATTGTGTCTAACGAGACGGAATGCCCAATGAATCACGTGACGGGTGAGACTGAATGTCCAACGAGCCTGAATGTCCAACCAAGATTGAATGTCCAACGAGCCTCAATGTCCAACTGAGACGGAATGTCCATCGAGACCGAATGTCCAACGAGCCTGAATGTCTAACTGAGACGGAATGTCGAACGGGACGGAATGTCCACCGAGACGGAATGTCCACTATTGGACATTCCGTCTCGTTGGACATTCAGGCCGCAAGCGATCTGTCCTCTCTCCGGCTCAAAAATGTCTCCCGCTGCCTTCGACGAGTTTCCCAAACGTCCGCGTCTTTCAGACGTCAAGATGAAGAATTTTCGCAACAAGCACAAGAACAGAATTCTTTGGAAAGAAGTTGCTGAGCTCCTTAAAGAAGTCGCACACTTTTTTGTAAAACTCGTCGTAAAACTCGTCGCTTGAATTGCCCATGTTCACTGGCGAAGTCGAAATGCCGCTCTTTTTCTTTCGTTGCTCTCAACGAGGTTTCCACCGGAATTACAATATTGTGCGCGTGCCTTTTTTATTATATATATTTTTTTCTTTTTTGCATTTTAATCGAATGTTAACTTTCACGTGGAGGAGCCGCCTGGCATGCCGTACTTCTCTGTCGCAGCAAATGTTGGTAGTTTGATTAATCGATATGTGGAGTTTAACGTCCCAAAACCACCATATTATTATGAGAGACACCTTAGTGGAGGGCTCCGGAAGTTTAGATCACCTGGGGTTCTTTAACATACAACCAAGTCTGAGCACACGGGCCTACGAAATTTCCGCCTCCATTGGAGATGTGGCCGCCGCAGCCGGGATTCGAACCCGCGACCTGAGGATCAGCAGCCGAGTATCTTAGCCACTAGACCACCGCGGCGGGGCAAATGTTGGTATTTCAACAAAATACGAAACTTCTTTTTTATCATATTTTATTATTCTCTTTTTTGCATTTTCGTTTAATGTTAACTCCGACATGGAGGAGCCACATGGCACGCCGTACTTCTCTGTGGCAGCAAATGTTTCTAGTTTAACAAAAGATGAAACTTGGTGACATGGTGCATAGCTGGTAGGGTTGACACGAACAAGAGAGCAGGGCGGGGTGTTACGGCAGTCGGCTTGAAAAGTACCACTCCATGCATGAAGGTTATGAAAAGGAATTTCGTGATGTGTCTCAACAAGGAGGTAGCGTGAATCATGCTGTCACGGTTCGAGGAAATAAGGCATTCACCAGGGGCCTTTTTTTTCGTTCTCAACTTCAACAACAGCTCTATCTCTCACTTGAATCCAGGTTCAATTGTCTCCTACGCGTACTTTGCCCGTCTTAGAGAAGACAAGCGACGCTCCCTCACGTGCCCTTATCTCGCAGCGGCGAAAAGGGGAAGGTCGTAAGCCTTGGCCAGCTTCGGGCTTTACCTGGAACGATTCGGCTGTTGTTACCGGGTGCACAAAGGTCACTGCAATAATTGCAGTCCCCGCTTGCGAAAAGCGCGCGCTTTACAGACATAGCAAAGTAACAAATGAGACGCTTATTTGCGTGTATCCGTACCTGTGAGTAAGTTGTGTGTGTCATTTGTGCGTGAGAAACGCGGGGCATGGTTCAATCTGCTTTCCATTCTGCGTGTGACCTTTCACTTTTTTGCTATCGCATTTATTGCTTCGCCTTTCTGGCAATGTTGTAACTTTTTTTATTCCTAATTAAGCGCACATGCCTTGCCTTTATTTTATCGATGCTCTTTCGTTTCGCTGCTTGTTGGTTCACCTTATTGTGATGAGAAAGATGCGAAGGCGTGTGAAAACAAGGGTCGCACACGAGCCATCAATCCATCGTGTTTTCTGTCCTTTCGTCCCGTTACATGTTTTGAGGCATTTTGCACCTGTTACTAACTGCAAACGTAACCCGAAGGACCCCATCGTTCACTTGAATGCCTGACAATACCTGTCGCGTGTTGACCAATTCACGTTTTTTTTTTTTTCATTCTAGCGACGCTCAAGACCAAGTGTTATATACAAAACAGATACACAGAGCAAGGGTGCTGTGACTTGCGGGCAGTGTTCAACGTTTCCTGTTGTCGTGGTTCAAGGCAGTTCAATGAGCAGGGTGCATATCAAAAGGGGGCGCTGACTTGTTCAAACTCGTGCTAATGCAGCATGGTTGCTGCGCCTGAATGCCATGGAGTGGAATTCGTTGCGACTGTAAATATTACATGGCACTTATACCTGAAGTGATACGGCGGAAACAAAAGCAAAAAAAGAAAGAGAAACAGCACAGAAAACCTGTACATAGGCGCCCATCTGGATGGCGGAGGCGATGGATAGCCGGAGGACATTGGCTTGCGCAGCACGCCACAGGCCTCGTCTCAGGCCATGGGCGCGGTAAATTTTGCGGAAGGCCTCGAGGCTAGAGCGGTAGTGGTGCTGATAGCCCACGGCAATTTGGGGTGATGCGCGCGTCTGGAGCTGGCACTTTACCAGCTGAAGAGGACTGCCCAGGAACGCACCAAGGGCACCGCACAGCCCGCCTGAGATTGCACTCAGCCGCACGCTGGGCTCCAGGTTCTCGTCCAATGTCATGCCATAGTCTTCGATCACCTGCGCATTGTCGATGCCGTTACGTTAACAGAGACGTTGCATCATAGTACGTAGCGAACCTTTGCTTTCATTTTTAAACAATCGATATTCTATAGATAAGCCATTTGTAAGCTACCACAAATCATTAAAGAGGCTCTGTAACATTGTTTAAGGTTTAATCTTGGATTTATTTATTTGGGAGCACGTTAAAAAACCCCAGGTGGTCGAAATTATCGGAGCCCTCCACTACGGCATCTCTCATAGTCACATGGTGGTTTAGGGACGTTAAACCCCCCATATCTATCATAAATCTTGGATTTATTGCCACACGAATTCAATTTTTCATATATCTACCCATCTGTTGACTCATGAATATGAGTTCAGCGGGTGTTTGTGACGTCGCATCGTACATCGTTACCTACCCGAAGAGCAAACGATCTTTGAGCGCTCAAATCGTTACTGAAGTAGATTCACAAAGTTCCGAAAAGATAGTACACCTCGTTGATTTTTTATCAGGTGTTATGTATTTACGTGGCAAACCATGACAACTTGCCCACGACTAAGGGCGATATCGCCATGTGCTCTACTCTTGCACCATCGCCATGTCTAAGTACTGTATTCATATCACGGTGGTGTAAGTATAGTGATATCATAGGCGATGCACGAAGCAGCTACCCGTTTTGGTTTCGACACATTGTTTCTTGGTTATTTAAATTTATTGGTGAGTTTTTAAGCAAGCTGCACTCCAAGGTAGATACAACTGGTAGCGAAGGCTCTAGAAGTCTATACGTTCAGAAAATGCCAGCTGATTAGCTGCTGATGGGACTTTGCGCCATCTCTGCGAGGAGGGAACACTTCCGGTGAAACAAAAAATAAAGCGCGCGTTATACGCAATAGCCAGTGAAAAGGTGACGTCATTTTGTGTGCTCTAGCACGAAATTTTATCTCGAATTACTTTTCATTGGCCCCTGACCGCTAAGGTGAGTCCTCCACGAGTGCACTTCAAGTCAACGTCAGCTAATCTAATACCGACTCATCACTACATAGTGATGAAATTTAAGTGTACTACCGTTCACATTGAATCGCTTTTACAATAAAACTTATTCTTCGAACTTTTATTGGGGCTCGTGGCATCTTCCGTGGATTCCCTCCCAAGTACTGACCGAGCCCAGTGCTGCTTAGCTTCGGTGATCGGACGAGAACCGGCGCATTCAGCATGGTATGGCCGATGGCACCGTGGATTGACTGACTGATTGATATGTGGGGGTTAAACGTACCAAAACCACCATATGATTGTGAAAGACGCCGTAAAGGAGGGCTTCAGAAATTTCTACCAACTGGGGTTCTTTAACGTGCATCCAAATTCCGCAGGAGGATTAAAACAACCAACAGCGTATACCTATCATATCGGCAGCTTTGCTTATTTGCTTCACAAATACGCAGGTCCTTTAGCATGCACAATGCTTCTATTCTGCAGTTTTAGCAGACAGAAATGACGCCTGGTCATGCCAAAATTATGACATTTAGGTTTTATTCAATATTCACGATAACTAATTTATTACACTGCCCACAATGGTAAAAAGCGCAAAGAAGTCTGCGGATACTACTTGTGTTATGTTTTTTTTTTTTTGCGTTATGCTCCGATAAATTACCGCTATGTATGCGAATGCAAACGTTCGATAGATAACATGACAATCGGCTCAACGATTACGCGAATAATACTAGGCACTGCCCGCCCAAGAAGGAAACCAGGCTGCAGGAATACTGATGGTTGAAAGACCAGCGAGCACTGTATTCCAAACCATTGTCCTGGTTTATTATCTAGAAGGCAGGGGTCACCAGTAGGCTTGTGCGAATATTCGAATGCTTCGAATATTCCAACGAATAGGTGAGTATTTGAATTCGCTTCGATTCGAATTTAAATTATTTAATATTTTCGAATTATTCGCAATGAACAAATAAATGTACATTAGTTCTTTTGTAAAGGTGGTTTCACTGCAATGTAGTAATGCAAAGTCGTGAAAGCACCTAATCAAAAAAAAAAATTTGCTTTGCCGCAAAGTCTATCTTCAGATTTAAAGGGGCCCTGCAACACTTGCTGAGCATGGTCAGAAAACGCTGCCGATCGGTAGTCGAGGCTAGCGAGAACACGCGAGGCAAGTATTATAGCGCAGCACGCGGCCTGAAATTCACAACGAATTTTCAAAGCTAAAAATTGCTCCCTTCTCTCGGCAAATGACACTACAAGCTCAAAAATCACTTGTCACAACCAAGAAAGAAAATACGGCTCTGGTCACAATCATTGGTTGATTTGAGCATGGCACGCTCGTCGTTATCGTACCGCTGCGTGAGGCCACCGCTTGTGCACAAATACGTGCAGGGTCGCACTGAAAGGCCTCGTATTTGAGGAAAAAAGAGAGAGAAAAAATGCTTAAGGTCACTAGGCGCTCATAATGTTCTTTTTTTTTTTCGTGCCATTCTTCCCTACTTAGCTTCCAGCTTTTTCGATGGGTCGAGAATGGAGATTGCAATTGCAGCATGCGACAAATTTTTGGAACTTGGCTCGTACTGAACTGATTCTAGAAACTTTGCGGCGGTAAATTTGTGAGGCGACAAGCATGTTTACCGGCTCCATGGATACATGAAAAAGTGTTGCAGGGCCCCTTTAAAGGAACATGTTACCCTCAAATCAATTATTGATTTTATTAAGCTTGTTATGATGGTTTATATGAATTAAGTATAATAAAGGTTAAAACGTTATGTATCTTGCCAGTTATCACTCGGATTCTACCGAAACTACTAATCAAGGTTGTTTCGACTTCCTTTCAACGAAAAAAAAAGGCATTTGCATAGAGCCCCTATTTCAATTCCAAAGTATCGTGCAGGTTAGTTAGGTTATGATAAATATTCCCTTTTTTTTAATATGCCATACATACTATTCGAATTCGGCTCAAAATTATTCGACCAAAATCACTATTCGCTTCAAATTCGCTTCGACTCTGAAATTCACTATTCGCACAAGCCTAGTCACCAGGCATACGTTTGTTGCTTGCATCCTTGCATAGCACATCGTTTCCGGCCGTACTGACGAAAGCACTTGGCGCTAAATGTAATTAGAATCATTCCGCTTCCCGTTGGACCCTTCAAGACGTTCACCAACGATAAAACGCACCTCACAATTTCGCGCACAAGAGGGAACGCAAGCAAGTACGGTACACTAATACACGTGAGGGGGTGTCTTATCGCAGACGAATTTTACGAGCGTGCCTTTCTATGAAGTGCAAGGGCTGCACTGAGTAATAATAGCGTGGGCAGAGGGCGCTATAAAAAAGATTTTTCGTAATAATATAAACTAATAAACTCTTCCCTAATTACACCTACATAATATTGCTGCGGAAAATAAATCTTGTTAGTAAAACATAGTGATTGCGTCGACATTGAATAAACTTTGTTTTTCACTATTAGTGTTTGTTCTCTCTGCACACATAGTCGCGCTTCAATCGCACCTCCCATAACTCCCCATGTTGATGTCACTAACAATAGCTTCTGAACCACTTTTAGCCCGATCTTTTGCGACCTATTTGAATAGACCTAATGAACTCTGCCGGCTAACTGTCAACACTATTTCAAAACGGCTATATCATTATATACTTTAAAAAGCACTGCAGTTTCTCTTAGCAGTAAAAACTAATCATCTGGATGAGCCCTCGACTATAATTATATCCTTATTTATGCCACATCCACACTTCGAAATGATTATTATCGACCACGTGTTTCAGTGTAGCTTGTCATGGCTCCCCCCACCAGCTACATGTCGGGGCATGCTCCAAACATTTAAAATACAACATCGCGGTAAAGATCACTACGTGTATTGCTGGTTAATCGTGTGTTCTGAATGGAATGTCACTCATATGCTAAGGGTTTTTTTTTTTAATTCTGTACGTTTATGAGTGCTACTTGAGCGCCGTTTTCGTGCAACATCCACACCTTAATTTGCACGTGGAAGAACAACGCAGCTCTTAGCTCTGTGCCCTGTTCATCCCATGGGTGTTCGATGCGACCGGGATCAATACAAATGCGAGAGTAGAAAGTAAACATTCGACAGAAGTCTGTCTGGTTGGGTCTGAAACTGGGAGATGATTTAGACTCCAACCAAAAGTTTTGAAGAAACCCGACATTTCTGCAGTCAGCCCTGAGGAAGGAACCAAGTCGGTTCCAAAACGTCGGGTTTCTTCAAAACATTTGGTTTGAGTCTAAATCATCTCCCAAATGCGAGAGTAGCATTCTCGCAGGTCGTCTTCGCTGTATCGACGTCGTCTTCCACCGATCTACACAGTTTTCTTTTTTTTTTCGTTCGCTTGCCTACCTAACGTTACCGTCACTTCGTCTCGAAAACTGATGCTGCGTCATAGTTTTTTGCGAAATGCACGCCAGGGTTGAGCCGCTGCAAGAGGAAGTGATTATGCTCTCTCTTCTGCCGCGGAACCACCACTGTTTGTCGGGTCAATTTCATTTCATACGCAGCGCAGGTGGTATTGATGCTGACCACCAGTGTGGCAATTGAATATCAAGAGATTGCCCTGCACGTCAAGAGTGACCGCGTCCCCGATGGCTGCTCGTGTCGCAACATGTGCCTGGAAGGTGCGCCCCTTTCATTCTTTATTTCACGGCCATGCAGCCGGTTCCCAGACTGAAACGAGCTCACTTATGCAACCTGTGGCCCGCGAAATTAAACGGCCCAATGAAGCACGCATGGCTCGGTCGTGACGCGAAGGCTGACGCTTCGCTAGCCCCCCCCCCCCCCCCCCCCCCGTTTTTTTTTTTTTTCTGCTTGCCTGATTTCGGTAAACGCGTATTAAGTACTACTCGTCAGATACAAAAGTGTCTCCATGCTGTTCACATATCACCTCCTCACCCACACTCCACCGCTTCAAGGTTGCAACACTTTTCCAAAAAGCAAGCAAGCAAGATAGAAAGAAAGAAAGAAAGAAAGAAAGAAAGATAGAAAGAAAGAAAGAAAGAAAGAAAGAAAGAAAGAAAGAAAGAAAGAAAGAAAGAAAGAAAGAAAGAAAGAAAGAAAGAAATATATATATATATACTTTACTTGGAAGACTCCAAGGCGCAGTCCATGCGTGACCTGTCGATAGGCAATGCTGGGCACGAGGCCTCGATATACACTCCAGGGTCCATCCGTATGTACCATCATGCGGAGAGACTGGAACGTTCTTTGGTACATGACCTGGTAGTAGCCTCGCCGCAGAAGCTCGCCTTGCACCTGCGGCCCATCGTGAGTGACGTTTGATTCGTAGATGATACACAATAAGGCGCAAGCAGCACCGATTGCTCCTGCATCCATGGTTACTTATTCTCTAGCGGCATCCATGTTACCCATTGTAGTGAGCTTCAAAGCCTGGCGAATTTTGACAACTTGTATTTGAGAGGCTTGCATACCTGCATTCGCGTTCTGGTGATGTCGAAAGGGTGCATGATGAGCGTCGCCACAGTTGGTCCGACCATACCCTCAAGCAGGTCCTGCAAACCATCTGCCGCGAAGGAGTTTTGCTGTTGTGCTTCATTCTTAGCCATCCTTGTTCTTGTTCACCTTCTTTTGTGGCTCGTACCCACTGTTTGTTTGTTTTGTTTCCTTGAAATTATGGCGCATACCCACTCAGGGGGATTGGCCAAGAAAGCGTAGAGTACTTTTTTTGCCGTCCCCAGGATTCCGGTTGATGCACAAGTAGCGCCACCTCTCGGAAGCTTGCTCGGCGTTTCCCGTGACTCTATGGCAATGGAGAACAAAACATTATATAACTCATCTTCCTTACCGATTTTCTAAAAGCATTCTCGGTTACAAGTAGGCAATGTAGAAACCTGCTTTTAGGCAGAGTTTCGTTTCAGTGGTAGATATACTGTGAGTTCGATGAATCATTATATATAAATGCACAGCGCCTACGGGAACCCTGTAAATATTTGGCCGTTTTTTCGCATTTGAATCGCTGCATTACAACTATATTAAGAATGAATTTAATGTAAAACATGAACAGTGTAAGAAAATAAGACCCACAGAAAAAAAGGGGAAAATAGAAAAGTTAACTTGAGAGATTTTGATATTTCAGATTTTGAGATGAGCCAACAGATGCGTTTACTGCATCTAACCATTCATAATTTATGTTAAAACGCTTTTTGATGATACACAATAGTAATTATTAGTTTGGGAATTACAATGGGAAAAGTTTGGATGCCTGAATATAATCGCAAACGACATTGAAAGCATCCCTGTAGCAATGTTCTAAAACTGTGGCACCAAAGTTCAGCATTGTTTCATCCGTCAATCTAACACCTATCTTCAGAAATACAATTACTAGAAGCCTTTTTCAAGTGTCTTCTTCCACAAATCTTTCTCACTTCGATGCTGGTCGGGAAGGACGATTCATCTGTTACGAGCCACGGCCCCGCTTTCGACCCTTTTTACAAACTACTACACATCTGGGAGGCACAGAGGGTACTCGAGAAACACTGGCGACGTCACAAGTGCAACCGCAAACTGCTGAAATTTTGAATTTCCAAGCTATTCAGGAGGTACTGGTACATTGACCAGCTCAAAAGAAATAACGAGTACGAACTTACTCAACAAGATTAATTGGGCACTAAGTACCAACAGCATGTCTGCAAGTAATACTCGAGACTCCCCTTAGCAAGAGGGAGACCAAAAGACCCACAAAAAAGAACGTACAGCCATATACACGACAAAACTGGGTGAGGTAAAGACGTTATCAAAGAAAAAATGAATTACTTTGCTACACAGCGGAACATAAATAACTTTGACATAACATAACATAACATTCACACTTTGACGAGTATAAAGGTCCAAACCCAAACATAGATCTGGATCGACCAATATTACGGTAGCTGAGATGAAGAGGACCCTCAGCAAGCACACCCGCAAAACGGCGCTGGGCTGACAGAATAAGCAACAAGGCATTCCAGAATCCGGAAGCTCGACTAATATATCCGCAACTGCTGGAAGAAGGGTAAAGTACCCTCTCAGTGGAAACATGCTAATGCAATCATATTCCGAAACCAAACAAGCCAATCAATGTTAAGAACTTGCGACCGACATCCCTCACGTCGTGTGCTGGAAAACTCTACAAGCAGATGTTACACAACCGGAAGATCGTACATCTGAAGACAGAGAACAGGACCCATGACACCATGTTTAGATTTGGAGCCAAACTGTCCACGCAAGATGTAAACTGGGCATGCACAACAGGAAAGTCATCCTCGCACTATAGACGGGAAAAGGACTTTCAAAAACGTGTCGCACGAAGCCATACTGCAACATCTTAATATAATTTCAAATGAAAATATATAGTAGCATAAGAGCTACTCTTCAAGGAAGTACAGCCAGAGTGTTAGTAGGCAACTTATGGTCCGAGAAGTTCGAAATTTAGCAGAAGGGTTTCGTTTTAAATACCACAGTATGCAAAATATCGCAAGATATCTCCCTTCACCCGCAGCGTGGGTGAAAGGAGAAACTTACTGCCGCAATCATCAGGTAGAAGATATTCTCTTCGCTGTTGCTCTCTGAAGCCTACATGTGCGTTCCTTGTCAGCGCAAGCTCTCGCTTGCGTTGAAACTTGGTGTCAATAATTGCCATAGAGAAGGTTGATGTATAAAGTACTAAATAAATTAGAGAGGGAAAATGTTGGTGCGGTAGCGAGTTTCGAACATATGACAACACACTCGAAGCAGATCCTCTTACCGATTGGGTCAAATTGGTGCTTCTCAGACACCAGGCCTGTGTATTCCGCTTAATGATATCATGCTACTTGCACCAAAATTTTAGCGTCACTGCTTTCGTAATATTTTAGGCTTGGTAATGGTAATTTCAGTTCAAGTAGCATGAAATGTAACAGGAAAATTATCATTCAGCCGTTTCAAGTACACATCAACAACCTTGATATCAATGTGGATTGTGCAGAAAGGATATCTTCCTGGTGTATGAAAAATCCACCCTGATTCGAGCTTCGAACTCTGGCCCTGCGTTCGGACAGGCTTTGGTGACCAAGGCCTAACCAAGGCATTTGCTTTAACCAGGAGGCCTCCTTGAGTTTTACACGAATATCGAAATCTTGAACATAAAGGTGCGTCACTGATATGACTGTCCGAAGCCATTACGGCGAAGCTTCCCCAGCAGCTAAAGTCTCCCTTGGGAGCAGCAATTGAACTTTTTTGGGCCGTTACCATTCACATATTTTCGAACACAAACGTCCAAGCCTCTAAGCTGGAGTAGTTGTATTGTACTTCATGAAATCAATATATGCGTACGTGCATACGGGTTTATTTTAATACTCGAGCGTCTCTCATAATCAAATGGTGGTTTTGGGCCGTTAAACCCACAAATCAATCAATATTTTAATACTCGAGCTGATTAAACCACCTAACTGCTTTAGTTCCCCGACCTTATAGGCCATCTAACAATTTCTATGAAATACACGTCATATTTTTAATTTGATGGATCTTCTTTTGGTGCTCTATATATGGTTAGAATACTGGAAACATAAGCTGCGTAAATACTCTACGCATTAAAAAAATGATTGCGCTTGCAAAGAAGTATTGTTATAACATTCGTGCTTTTAGTACAGCCTAGGCGTTTGGTTTGTGTAGTGATGTGCACCTCCTTCCACGCTTTATGGTCAATCGTCAGGCTGCTAGTTCATGTGTGGTTATTAAAACACAGTTTAGTCACCAAGTGGTCCCTTATGTCCAAAATGTACTTTGTGTTCTACGAAATTCACGGTAAATGAAAGTGGCATACTTAATTATCACAAGTTCTTTAACAAGGATTCTCGCCTCGGTCGAGAAAGCAGCAACAAGACACCGGGATACAGTGACACCGTATTTTCTGACAGAATACATCGGGCCACTGCAGCTGGTGGAATTGTTGGTCAATCCTGAGAGTACGTTGTATATCATCAGAACTAAAAATCTTGCACGACCTCCTATGAAGGTCAATTAGAACATTTTTATTACAGTTTCTTTTGTAAAAATAGGACGGTCTGTTCAAGCGCATGATCATGTTGGGCTGTATTCAATTAACGACGTAAAACAATACTGACCTAAAATTTAAAAAAAAACGATTAGGGCAGCTCCACACTGGTGGTTCCAAGCCTGAAGGAACGGAGGAGCCCGACAGCCTTCCTTGGCACACCGGCCAAGCCTAGCCTATAAATGGCTTCAAACAGCCCTGCAACACTTTTACAAATAATCGTCGAATGGCTTCCATAAAAGAGTTTATTGTCTCCCGAATCAACTGCGGCGAAAATTACTAGAACCCGTCAAGTAGTGGTGGTATTAGTTAGAAGAGGAGAAAAGCACCTAATTTCTGCAGCCTGGTCGGGAGCACGGCGCAGTGCCTGGTCAAGTATACGAGCGGAGTTACAGGGGTTTGTCCCACGCTTCAAGTGCTTTCTCTCTCCTTTCGTACTATCGAGCGCGTTGAAGCGTACGCGGGTGGGCAAGATGACGCGTCCTTTCATTAGTGCGTGTCATGACGTTGAGCCCCTTTCGTTTTTTCTTCGAACGCGCGGCTTACATTCAATGGGTTATATTATATGCATTCCCAGACACCACAATAGTCTTTTAAAGACGAAGCTCTTCGGGGTCTCGGGTAAAAAAAAATAAAAAAACAGGGAATAATCTAGGGACTTTAGTCTCAGTGTGTCGGCGTGCATCGTCGTCGTCTGCTGCTGCTGATGTCGTGGCGGTATTTGCATGAGCGCAAAAGAGAGTTCTTACTTCATAACGCAAAAGAGAGTTCGCTCTTTTGCCACAGCCTGAGCGCTCGCCGCGTGGTGATAGAGAGCCAATGGCGCGCATTGAGCCTGTGGCGAGCGATTGCGAACGGCTCACAGTCACAGCACGCTGCAGAGGCGTTCACTGGCACTGGATCTTGGTCTTCAATGTATTTCTGGTGGGAGATTTCTCTTGTGCGTAGTTAAACAATAAAGATTCGTAGTGCGTGAACTAAGAGCGGTCTGTGTCCTTCACCCCTCCCCAAGTTTCATGGTAGTCTAGGAGCCGGAATGTCCTTCCTTACATGCTTCGCCCCTCCCCAGTTCTGTTGCTCGCGCGGCGGGCAGACTCAGCGCGGCGGCTCTGCGGACCGTCGGTGGGCGCGGCTGATGACGACAGCGTGCAATAGCCAGACGGAGATGGTTTCTTTAGGCAAAGTGGGGCGCTCTCTCTCTTTGAACAGATGTTTATTAAAGACGGTAGTCTTTCTTGGGGGCCTTCGACGCAAAAATTTTGGTCCTCCCTCTGTCTGTCGGTGGACTTATCTGTTTGTCCGCCGAAACGATACCCGAAACGGCAAAAACCCAACCCCATCCTCAGCGCCCAGCACTATTGCTCAAGTTTCAGGGCACATACTTGGGCGGTTGTCGATTAAAAAGCAACTATTGCGCATATCTGAGGCACTATAACAACACGTCCATATTCTGTATGTATCTCTTTATACTAGTAAAGACATGCATAAGTAATTTCAAGGACCTTAGCGTTCGTCACGCTGCGCTGACGTTGCAAA